CGCGCCTGTGCCTGGCCGCCTCATTTACGAAGAACAGGAAAACAAGGCCTGAGCAAAGACAGGGTCAAGGGTGACATAGCAGATTCTCTGCGTCTTCTAGCCTATAATGACGTCGAAGTACGCATGATATCCTCTGCAGTGCTGAGAGTGTGGCAGGATGCATGCACGCATTGACCAAGTGCAACCAGGCAACTTTGATCTGGAGTCTTGACCAGCTTGTGCACGGCAAGCATGGCGACCTTTTGACTGCCGTTTTGTGTCTCAGTCCTACTGCCAATCTCAGTATTAACCTTTGGCCGAGAGGCTAGATAGTATAAGCCCTCAGGTGGCGAGGCTCCGTGGCACACGCAGGGGACTGGTTTTGGCAGGCACAGGCCTGACAACTGTCTGTCTCAAAGAGTATCCGCAGGCGCATGCCAATAGATTTATGGCAAGGATCAGTGAAGCTCCACAGAAATATTCTCATCTTTCCGCATTCCGGAACCACAACTGGTGAGAGCATGACCAACCTCGGCTACAAGGCTTGCAAAACTTGTAGCTGACTTTGCGATTGCTTCAGCTGTGGCGCCCCATGTCTTTGTTCAAGACAAAGAAGCCAAAGGACTGACACCTTGGACTGACACCTTGAAACATCTCCGAACAAAGAAATCCGCTGAGCACGAGAAAGGCTCCTTACCTGTTACCCCTCTCCTTACCCCTTTCTGGGGGCACGAATCCGGACTGGGGGGGGACGTACCACCCTTTGATTCCAAGACGTTCCCTTTTCGTAGATTAAATCCCTTCATGCAGTTGCGTGAAATGAAGGGAAATGAAGGGAAATAAAGGGAAATGGAGAGAAAATTAGGGGGAAATGAAGGGGACATGAAGGGACACGAAGGGGACAAAAAGGGAAATGAAACCGAAATGAAGCGAAAATGAAGGAACATGCAGAGGAAATGAGGGGATGGGAAATGAACGGTGGGGAAATGAAGGGAGGGAGTTCAAGGGACGGGAAATGAGAAATTGGTTGAAGAGCAGAGCAATGAAAGGGAAATGAGGGGGAAATGAAGGGGAAATGAAGGGAAATGAAGGAGAAATGAAGGGGAAATGAAGAGAAATGTTCTTCTTCGCTGTCCAGCTTTGCCTGTGCTGGAACAAAGCGTGTGTCAGAATGCAATTCTAAGTGAATACATAATCGCGCCAGTCTATATTGGTGTTGCCTTTCTCTCATCAATACCAACCTCAGCGAATGAAGCGTGAGCTCTTGTGACATGCATGATGTTCTACCTTGTTCTTTCAAACAATTATTGCATTGCTGGTGTATTTAATGCACCTTCATCATCGGTAAACAGCTATTCGCAATGACGCACTTGCTTGCACGACACATCAGCAGGCCGCCTGTAATGTTAAAGCAGCACGAAACTGGGCCGCGAACTCTGGGATGAGATCCTTGGCTTCCCTAACTGAAGGCTCCGCCGATTGCCGAGTTCTCATGTTTTCAAACACAGAACCACTGCAGGCAGGCTTCCAGACCGAAGCTTCGGCCGATCCCGCCGCACTTTAAGGCACGCTCAGCTGATGAGCAGTGCACCCCAATGGGATACATGTACCTTACCAGCTTGAACAGTTGACTCAGCTCAAGAAGAAAAGCGGTTGTTGCCCGCGCTTGTCGTCAGGGTCAAAATGGTACGTGCAACTCTGTCCAGCGTTGCAAGCAGTTGCAAGCATGCCAGGTTGCAAAAGCCACAGCTTCACATAGATGACAAGCAGGGTCACCTGTGAGTTCGACAGAATGCCTTTGCGCGCCGTGCGTGTATCTGCAGGCAGGCAGCCATATAGACCCGGCGTCGTACGTGAGCATCCTGCAAAAGGCACAGGAATCATGGCTGATGTGGCAGTTCATCCGCAATCCTTGACAGTAACTCTCCAAAGGAAGCAATAGATCAACACGGGTATCACGATGGCCAAATATAGGAGGTCGACCTTGGAAGTACCCGCTCAAGGGCCAATGTGCTAGGTTTCTTCTTTGTTGCACAGTGAGCTTCTTGTTGTGAATTCCAAGAGCTCAACTTGCGCTGCAGATCAGGCACAACGACTCTCAGAGTACCCCCATTCACCTCCACAAGGAGATACATCAAGCCACATCCATCTGTTTCACCTTGGTCGAATGAGAAAGTCGCTGGAAGGCGCGCATCTCTTTGCCGAGAAGCAGTTGGCATCGCAGAACTCAGGTCGGCGATGGATGGCAAGCCTCGGGCCCAAAGCTCAGATGCCGTATGGAAGGACCAAGTCTTTGCTGCCCAAGCGCAGTATCGGTGTAACCACATAAGAGAGAATGAATGCCACCTCGTGTACGAGTACGAGGTACCATAGCAACTGGCAAAGGTCTCAGTCGTCTCAGTACTCTGCGGCATTCAACGCCAGGAGAAGCTTGGCACCGAGGACAATGTTTCGCCCGTCAATCACCTGGCACTTCGCAAGTCGCTGCCTTCGCCTTCGCCTCTGCCGTCGAATAACCAACATGCGCAAACCCTGGTGGCACCTCCTGTTGAAAGCCAGTGACTTCGTGAAACTGTGAGAGGATGTGGGCGGGTTCCATGCCGACCTGAGCCCAAGGCAACCTTTCAGACCATGCAACCCACTTTTATCCACTCCAGCTTGGTCTTGTTCTGCTCAACCCCTGATGCTGGCCTATGTGCTCTGCCGTTCAAGAGGGAGATGTTGTGAGCTAATTTGGTCATTTGGTCTGTGTCGACCTCACGGGTTCAAGCCTGCAATTCAACCTAATTCAACCCTTGCCTCGGCCAAGACCTAAAGCGCTTGGGCCTTGAGGAACCGGCAACACACGTCGTAACATGCTGCTCGAGGCATGTTCACTAGGGCGCCGTAGGATTTAGAGCCCTGTCAAGTAAAGAAGCTCGGGTAACCAGTTTGTAGATGCTGTACTTAGTGGTCAGAGCTTGGTTCGTTCATATTTCTGATATTTCTGGGCTTTGCTGGCGCACTGGGCTCAAAGACTTCATGCCAATGTATATTGCAGGGGCTAAGCGGCTTGGCTGGATCCATTAATTCATCGAACGCCCGCACTCGCGCTGGATTTTCTGTGGGGTTGGAGGGGCCCGAACACACAATGGGCACGCCCCTTGGACTCGGCATACGTCCCAGAATTGCATTCCCACTTCGTATGGTATCAGAATGCCAGGCAACTGGCAAACCAAATAGCTACCAGTACTGCCCTGGCAGGCAATCTGACTGCTTTCCCTGCTGTGAATGTGCCAAATGTCTGATCGTTGCTGCCCTCGCTAGTGCTGTTGTCTTTTTGCCTGTGCCACTGCCCGTGTGACTTCCACCTGTGTCCACGACAAGAAAAGCTGTGCAAGCCAAAACACAAGGCATCCTTGTGTAACCCCCTTGCATAACCGGCCAGAGTTCAGCACAACGCCATCCATCTCGTCCTCTTACCCAAGTCTCTGTCCAGCAGCATTGGCCGGCTTGCAGCGTAATCGCACGAACTGTGAAAGTTGCACGGCTTTCTTTGGCCTGTTTCTGCGTTTGAGTTGGTTCGACATGCAGTTGTTTGGATCCATTCTACCTTGAAGAAATCAATCACGTCGCAGCTGGATTTCTCTGACAAATTAATAGCCTTGATCACTTTGCTTCTTACACAATGTGCTTTTGACACCGTTGTCCTGCTCTGAATCATGTATGTTTTACAAAGAAAACTGGTGCCTAAATATACAGCATGACACGCCAGATCGGAGCCGCAACAGGGGGAGATGGGGCTGCGTAATACTGAAGGCTTTCCCGCGCCCCTTCCAAACCTTGCAAATTGGCGAACACCAATTCTTTCAAATATCTGATTTTAGGCCCTCTGCTACACCATTTGTGTTCATTGCAATTGGGTCGGTGGCGTTCACATTCATCAACTGACAACTATGAGATTGTTACCCCATAGAGTGAAGTGCCAATGTATATCTATTGTTTGCTGAACACCGTATCATCCAAGTGAAGAGTGTCTTTTAAGAGTAGACCCATTTCAAGATAGAAACTCTCTAGTTTGTCTTGTGCCTGCCACTTCAGGAATCAGCCTCCCTTCATATGCCACGCACGTCGCACCCTCAACAGTGACCTCGACTGGATTCCTCTGAGTTGGGGGCTCTTCTGACATCTGGACTTTGCCAAATACCCCACCGCCAGTTCCTGAGATCTAGCAACGGCGCTCGGAGCCCGAGTGAGATGCGAGAAGTCCAGCCCAAATCCTTCAAATCTTCATGTGCAAATGGCTTGCTGCCAAGTGGCTGATCAACGGGAGTGCGGGCAGTCTTGAGAACAGACTCCGCACTGCTTACACCCTGCACAAGAGCCAATGTGCCTGTCATCTGACTTCCCCCCGAACGTGCCTCATTGGAACTGCTATCCTCGAAGCTGTCGACAATTTCACCTCGCGGAAAGCGCCGCGTGGACACAGTAGCCATGAGCCGATGAGCCGATGAGCCGATGAGCCGATGAGCCGATGAGCCGCTCACCTTCTGACGAGCTGACAGGATCATCTGCCCTGCAGCTCGCGCCTCAGGAATGGCAAGCGCCTTGATCCTTGCTTTGTATCGAAGGCTCGCACTTGATGGCAAGTTTGCACCAGTCATGTGTGGCCATTGTGCGCCGAACCAGGGCGAAGCCTATGACTCTTCAGAACCCGAAGTCCGCCAGATCTTTGGAGCGATCTGGTTTCTTTTGATGTGCAGGCTTGCTCACCTTTGCTCACCGGTCTGCAAACCACCTGCTGCGGCCACAGGCTCTCACAACCATTGCCCTTTTTGCCCGCATAGTTTCTCGTCGTGTTGCTCGACCGTGCAAGTTTTCATGCGCATTGGTACGCACTCTCTGGCCCCATGCCCCCCCCTCCGTTGAACCTTGAGCGTGAAGCTGCGCACAAGCCACGCAATTGACATCGATGATTGGCACAGGACATTGATGAGTGGCCTGAACGTGTACAATAAAGTCTTGCAGCATGATCCAGTGGCCTCCATGTGCACCATTCCAGGTGGCTCCTGGCAAATTTCGAGCTCTTTCGCTCATGCCACACTGGGCAAACAAGCCGGCGACGGTGCGATTCTCTGTCTCTTTGCAAGATGCCTGTCCAAGCGAACTGGCAAACCGAGTTCAATGACTGAGTTTCAGTTGGCGTTTGTGTTGCCCCTCAACTGGGCTCCTGCCTGGTCAGCAGTGCCTACGCAGCTGCGCAAATCTAACGAAAAAATCGGTCCTAGAGATGTTGGTAGGAGTGCGACTGGGGCATGCCTTCATGTTCATCCTTGCGCTCATCCTTCGCTTCTTGTTTTGCTTCAGGTGGCTTGCCACAAGGTGGCTTGTCACGCTTGGCAGGCTTCCGGTCGCTCTCGTCAGCCTGCACCCAGCTGGCAAAGGCGACGTCAGCCCAGCGGCCCCTTAGGCTTCTGCATGTGGGGAGCGGTGCGCGACCACTTTGCCTCAAAGCTGCTGATTCCGAAATGCGTCCGAATACATCAGCTTACGTGCTCCCACATTTCTGAGCAGCGGGCTGGAGCTGGCACAACAACCCATGCGACAGATTTCGCCCTATTATTTTCCAAATGAGCCAAAGCTTGCGGGGTGTTCAAGCGAAGCAACCTCTGTCTGCTTGATTCTGCTTGATTCACTCTGGCCCAAGCAAAGGAAACACATCATGTTCATCCCTGGCGAAGGTTCGCATCGAGTAGCAAACAGGTTTTCTCATGAATGCTGCTCCTTTCTCGCACGAGCAACTTTCCTCTGCACCTGATGCCCGGGCAAAAGCTGCATCCAGGGCTGCCCAGCACATGTGAAACAATCAAACTGGACACGAACTACGATGGGTCTGAATTCGTTCGGCTCTTGGAGCTCGGTGAAACCGTGCAGTCTCAAGCCTGGTGCGAGTTAGGCATGCCAAGTGTTGTGTAAGCTGTTGTTGGTGTGGGTGCGTATAGGTGTGGACACAGGTGCTCGCACCTGGCGAAGACTTGAAGGACATGGCTGCGTCAGCTGTGATAGTGCTGCGCGATTGTCAGGGTATGCATGTCACCGGTGGTGACGGCTCGAACCCTGTACTGTGACAGGGAAACCACCTCAAATCACAAAGCCACAAGGCTAAAGGGGACAGTGCAAAATTTATCTGCTGCAGCGCTCGAAAAAAATGGCTGAGACCCACACTCGTACCGGCAACCAAAGCTTCTCCACGCCGTTCTCATAGAGCTGACAGCAACAAAACAACACAGTCTGCCATGTCTCAGGGCATTCTCTTTCTCTTACTCTGTGGCCTTCGGCTGATCTATTTCCACCTTGTTGCGGGCCTGGCTTCAATACTCAGTGCGAGCACTGCATGGTTTGCAATCCAAAATGTGCTCTAGAATGCCTGGAAGCCGTGCCTTCGCTCTGTCTCTCAGAGCCTGTTGATGAAGCATCTGATGCTGCGTCAACGGATCTCCTGACAGATTGGTCGGATTTGGACCAAGCGTTCTCCCCTGCGGCCATTCAGCGCTCCTTGCGCTCCTTTCTCTTCTTTGACAACTTGATCATTGCCTCAGCTTGGCACTGGCGAATTCCACACATCCGCACCTCACAAAGTCCGAGTTGCTCTTGGTCGGGAAGCCAAGCTGCCCGTGACCTGCAGGAATCCATGTGTCACTCGATGGCTGACCCAACCAATACCAAGGGGCTGTTTAGTCCGAAGGCATAGACCTCCCCAGTGGTTGTCAAAGCCTAGGCATACAAAGTGGTGCTGCGCTGAAATCAGAAGCCAATGCCCGGACCAAGGAATGGTTGGAGGCCGCTGTCACCTGAGATGTGACAGTTGCGGTGAGCACGGTGAGCAAAAGCTGCCGCGCCTGGCAGGCAACCATGCCGCGGCGGTTGCTCAGGGCCTCATGGACTCAAAACTGAAGGGCCGCATGGGCCGCATGGGCCGCATGGGCCGCATGGGGCGCATGGGGCGCATGGGGCGCATGGGGCGCATGGGGCGCATGGGGCGCATGCTGGAATCAAAGAAGGTCGAACACGCTGCGCTTCGTTGGAGTTGTCCGTGCCAACACCCAGCTGACCATGGACATTGCTGCCCCAGGCCCAGACCTGATGGATGACTTTGTGCGAAGCGGAAACACGAGCCAGGCTCCCGCCTTTGCGCCGTCGCTGGTGATGGCCTATGGCTGCTTCCCACTGTACATGTATTGCTTTATGTGATTCGGGCACGAGCCTGTGCCCAGGCAATGGGTAAGTTGGGGTAAACAAGCCACAAAAGAAAGGCTCCCCAAAAGCAAACCAATCCCCGGTCTCAGGGTTTCCCACACACCAGAGAACAACAACCAAAAGAGAAAAGAGTTAACCCGCAACCTTGATCGACAGCAGGCCGCACGAATGATCCCTACCAACCTGACGGCGGCCCGAGGTCTCTTTCTCCCCCGAGATGCCGTCGGTCGACGCAGGGGCTCGGCGACGCCCATCCGAGGCGCGAAGCCAAAACACCACCGGTTAGTCACTACCGCGACTTCCCAGATGATGATGTATATCATGGCTAATCACACCCCCCTCACGAGGAGCCCGTCATATGACGGGTGGAGCGTGCCATTTACTGATAGGATTTAACTGCTCACATTCGTCCGCAAACAGCTGGACACTACCGCCGTCAGCAGTGGAGCAAACCCACAAATGCAGTTGCGCGACATCCCGGGCATTAAATTCCCGCCACCACCCCAAATAAATCGGGGGTAACGCTGTCCAACATACCTTGTGGAAGAGTCCACATGACGGCAACAGGCCACAACTGTTTGCATCAGAAACGCAAGTAGTTCAATTCTTACCAGAAGCCATGAAACAAAGGATAACGTATGTCCATTACTACCCTCGCCTATCGGCAAGAAGTACTCCTCACCATGCACACCTGTAAAACACACGAATTCCGCAAACTCCACCAGTTTGCATCTTCTCTCACTCACACTACTTCATGGTGTCCATGACCAGCAGCCGAGCAGCGGTGCAGGACAGACATGAACTCCGCGCCTCAACGGCGCGGGAGGACAGCGATCATCACCCCGCAGCGCCGACCATTGGCGAGCGGGCGCAAGCCTATCGGCTGCAGCCCTCGTGAATCAGCCTATCGGCTATCATCACGTCTCCTCCGGTCGCGTCCGCACCGCACACGGTCCCTGTCACGATCCCTCTCGGACCTCCTGCGATCGTCTCTCCTTCGGTCTCGGTCCCGATCAAGCGATTCACCACCATCGCGATGATCCCGACGATCGTCTCTCCTCCGATCTCGATCTTCCGCGGACGATATCTGCGCCTTCTCGACTCTCGAGAGTCCCTAGCTTCCTGAGTCCTAACGGACCTTCGGGAGGGTGTGCGAGAGACATCCGTACCCCGACGTGCTCGCTCTGCGTGGGAGTTTGCCACAAGCTGGTTGAGAGCTTCCAACGCCGAGCCATCCTCGCCGTGCCTGATGAATTCTCTAACCTGTTTGGTGAGCACCCTGTTGGAGGACATCCCCAGGAACGCGTCCACTGTCGAAGCATCCGGTAGCGTCCTGAAATGGCCTTCTACCGGGCTCGCAGCAAGCCGCTCCGCCGAGCGCAGCCTGACTTCGCTCCCTTCGGGCTTCTTTGCCATTGCTTTGGAAGCAGTCAAGGGCGCTACCGCGTCCTTTGCCGAAGATCTGCCAAGCGCAGAGTGAAGATCATCTCCACTCGCCTCTCTTGCCGCCGCACCTGGCCTGCTGTCAACATCGTCGGGTCTCTTCGATGCCTCCCGCTTCGTAGATTCCTTGGCAGGCAGCTCTGGATCCCAACGGGATTTTCTTTCCCTCTTTTGCTTGTCAGCCGAGCCCCGACTATCGCCGGGAGCATCGTCACCGCTTCCCTTCTCCTTCGTCCTTCTTGACCTCGACCTTAGACTCAGTCCTCGGAGCCTGAGCGCCCTTCGCCTCTGCAGGAACTGGAGTTGCCTTCCCCTTCGGCTCGGCCTTTGGGGCTGAAGTCGTCTTTGCCTTTGCGCTTGGCCAAGCTCCTTCAACCGCGATCGCGGCCCAAGATTTCTTCGGTTGAGCCTCAGGTGGATCAACTTCCATTGGAGTCGGCCCAGCATCAGCCTTGCCCTTCGCTTTCGGAACGGCGGAGCTATCGCCCTTGCCAGATCCTTTTCCCGATGCCTCACCTGACTTCGGTCGTGGGACTATCGCCCTTACCACCCTTTTCACCCTTCTTCCCTTTTCCTTTTCCGCCCTTGATGACCGGCTCCTGCTTCGGGCCAGGACCCTGTGCAGCATGATGCACCGACTGAAGTTCGTCGATGTTCACGTCTTGCGGCTCAGGTTGTTTACCATCAACAACGGTCCTCACCTTTTCGTCACTAACGTAGACGAATGGATCACGGAAAGGGACAGGAGGCTCTGACCGTCCATCATTGATCGCTTTCTGCATCTTGGCAATCGCCTCCCTCAGCCTTTTAAATTCTTCTCGTCGCGACAAGACCATGTAGTTCCTGATGTCAGCCATCAGCCGATGACTAGCCAGGATATCTGCATCCTTCCTATGGGTTGGATACGTCGGAGTCAGATGACCCGCAGCAGCACCGATCACATAAGCCATCGGAATGTAGAAGGACAAATATGTATCACGACGGGCGAACTTCCTAACGGAAGTCGTCATACGTCTTCCCCACTGGGCTGCATGCGCCGGATTCGCTCGGAAGTACTCAGTCACCGCCCCAAATCTATCGATTTGGTTGGTTTTGATCAGGTGCTTTGCCACCCACTTCTCCACGCGATGCCGAGATGCCCTGGCATCTTCACGCGTCCGCTTGTGACTCCCCCTATCGGGGGCAAAATCACCATAGTCCCAAACTCGATGATACACTATCGTGTAATCATCGAACATGCACGCGGCCTTCCACGCACCCATCTGGATCGGCAAGAGTCTTCCTCCTTGTCAGATATACGGGCCCAATCAGCGACCAGTGTACCCGAAGATCCACCATGACCACGACGCGCCTACCTGAGTAGTTCCGCAGTCTGTCCCTGACGTACCACGAAGGCGATACCTCCCCATCGGGGCGCATAGGCACCGTGATTGGAACCAGGCCCTCATCCGGTCTGCCTTTCCATTCCGCCTCATCCTTTGGAGTTGGATCGCCTTCCTGAAGTCCTGGAACTTCATCACGACGTATCCCACCATAGGAATCTCATCCCAGTGCATCTCATACATGAGAGACCCACCAGGAGCGTCCCCATCTGTGTACCTACGTCGCACAGCCTGAAAGCTCATATCCCGTCCGATCCGCGTGAACCTAACGGCCACCAACCTGGTCAATATTTGATCGACCTTAACAGGACAATCACTGCCAGTTGGCACGAACTTCGCCCTGCGCGGAAGTCGGTGCTCCTTCACAATATGACCTGATCGCTCAGTCCTCCAAGTGTCCTGTGAGCTATTCTCGCTCGCCAACACGGGCTCGCACCTTGGTGCCTTACTTGGTAAGCAACGCTAGGGGCTGGCATGGCGGGAAGTGACTCACCGTCATCAAGAGTGGGAGACACGAACTGAGTGTCACCATAAGGAAGGTACGGCACAGTGTTGATGACGTCCAACGTCACCACACGACCCGAAGGGCACGTAAGGGTGGGCATGCAGCCTGCATTCCATGCAAACGAGTAGCCCATGTCCATACAGCGCTTCCCAACCGAAATAATGGATGGCGTAGACGTGTGCCTCAATCACCTCGTCCAGATTACCGACTTCAGCATCAACACAGTCGCCCCGTTTGCAGTATGTAATGCGTGCGTGTGTCCGCCCTTGGCGACCAGATCACCAAGACCGACCAGATCCATCGGGCAACCGGTATCGACCAACCATCTCACCCCGCTGTACCCAACAGGCGCAGCGACTTTCCGGGTGTGTTTCGGCTTTCGGACTACAAGATGTCCCCGTTCCCCAATTTTTGTGTCGATGTCATCGTCGTTGTCCAAGAGCACTTGGGCATGAACAGCCGCAGCTCTTATCAGAGCACTCTGAACCTCCCTAGCGATCTTCTTGCGAGACGGAAACTTGATCGCATTAGGATGGCTGTATCCAGCCTCCCTACAGCGTCTAACAACCCTACCCGTGTTGTCACTTTCAATGGAAACAACAAACACATCGGGGAGATCAGGGATCCTGACCTTCAGAGGCTCCCTATCGGGACCATGCTGAAAGCACTTGCTCCTCCAGGACAACACAGCCTCCGGCTCTTCACAGTACCAAAACACTGTCTTGATGTTGGTCCTTCTGGGGAGCCTCCTGAATAGGACTGATCGGCAATCATCGGAGTCCAACCCGATATCCTCGATGACTGTTCCATCCAAATGACCTGGTCCCACCTAGGCGGGAGACACCCCGGTGTAGACCCACCGATAGCTGGGGCAGCAGCCCACATCACGGGACACGCCACAACAACACAGTCGGCCTTAGGGTTACGGCCCGCCCCACCTAAAAATCCGTCAATCCTTGAGCGGGGCTGTCAAGACGCCTTGCCTCCCTATCGGGAGGACTGGGCGTAGGTGACCTGGGGGCTTCCTCCTCCTCGCCTTCAACCGGCAGTGGTTTGAGTATCGGGGTACAAGAAGCAATCCTGCAGCTCTCACACAGCCTGGCAGGCAAAGGACAGCACACCTCACAGGCCCTCATTCCACAACCAACGCATGGAACAAGAAGGAAACCGAACTCAGGAATTCACTTATCCCGGCCGTCATCTCCCCTCAAAGGCTTCGGGTAGAAGACCGCCATCCCCCCGCCTACCGGCCCCGTGGATGCTGTATCCAAGGCCAAGACCTGGCCCAAGATTCCTGCCACTGCCGATACTAGATGGGTAACGCCAGCAGGTTAACACCACCTCCGTAGGCTGGACCATAGAAGCTGGAACCGCATTGATTGCAACCAACTCCGAGGCAATCCAGGCCCCTTGTCCTCAGGAGGACGCGGGAATGACCCATGACCACCGCACCCGCCTCCATCGTGACCCGATGGTCCCTCAGGACCGCCGCCTCCTCCAGGACAAAGACAGGCGCCCCGCGGCCAGCGTGCTCATGACTTGTCTGGCATCGCTTGAGACAGTCGTGTCCAAGTATGCTCATTGCAGATGTACTTCTCACATTCAGAACAGGAATACATGGATATCTCTTGAGCATTCTTGCGACAGGCCCAGCACTTCGTTTTCAAGAGCTGGCAATTCCAAAACAGTCCCCATCGTCACCCTTACACAGTTGGCAGAATTCACGTTTGCACGTAGCACAAGTGAAACTCGTATTTGGGTGTCTTCGATCATTTGGGTTGTCCTGAGCACATATTCTCGAGAGATCAGGTCCATCGCCATCTTGCGCACTGCCCGTAGCTGGGTTCCTTCGGCTATCGCCAGGACTCACCTCGGGCCCTGTTGCCTTGGGTGTCCCTTTGTTGGCGATTGGGGTTTCGAGGGGCACCTCCGCTATCGCGGACTGGTCTCTTGATTCCCGACTCCTAACCTCAGGCTCCCCATCGTCAGTGTGCCTGCCACGGCTTCGGGGCGTGTCCCTATCGGGATCATCACCCCTGTGATCCTGACCTGCTGAACCTGCCTCGAATTCCTTCACCTGATCGGAGACCACCTAGGATAGCCTTCTCATCCACGACACTCCTCCGTGAGTGTGGGGTCAACGTCATAGAGCTTGTAGTTCATGGTCTCAAGCGCGTAGGAAAGTCCTACGGCTGATAACCTGTGATTCGGGCACGAGCCTGTGCCCAGGCAATGGGTAAGTTGGGGTAAACAAGCAACAAAGAAAGGTTCCCCAAAACCAAACCAATCCCCGGTCCCAAAGATCAGGTTTCCCACACACCAGAGAACAACAACCAAAAGAGAAAAGAGTTAACCCGCAACCTTGATCGACGACAGGCCGCACGAATGATCCCTACCAACCTGACGGCGGCCCGAGGTCTCTTTCTCCCCCGAGATGCCGTCGGTCGACGCAGGGGTTCCGCGACGCCCATCCGAGGCGCGACGGAACCCATAAACTTGAGCCAAAACACCACCGGTTAGTCACTACCGCGACTTCCCAGATGATGATTTATACCATGGCTAATCACACTTTATCTCTGAAATGGATATGACGGAAATATGAATTCTGAGACGCCAGCCAGGGAATGGCAAGCTCCACAGCAAATGGTGCCGATGCTAAGCCCACCTGCTGCCGGCTTCCGGTGCTCCATCGCTGTCCGGCCAAGTCCGGCCAAGTTGCTGAGCTGCGGTACCAACTGAGGCACCATCTGATCCTGGAGCTTTCCCAACCTGGAAACAGCTGGGGCAGCCAGGGCACTCGTGCACCAAAAGGACCGGACCCCAGCTGACCATTGGCATTGGCCCCCCAGGTGTACAGTTGATCATCCTGCAAGCAACTGCATTGCTGAAATGACTCAGTGGCAACTCTGGAGGGCGCGTTTACTTCAGATCCTCTGTGACAGCCATGGTAAAGTTGTCGCCGGCTGCAATCAGCTTTACCTGCACCTGCACGAAATTCAAACGCAAAGTGGTGAACAGCAGCACTGCACTGCTCCAACCTCCTCATCTCCGAGTGGTCCTTCAACTGATCTTGGCCTGGATCAGGAATGCACTAGGCAAACGCACCCGTTTAGCTGCTTAGCTCCATGCGCATCAATGAAGGATCCATGAAGCCTCGACTCCAGGCCGAGTTGGCCATGCCTCGGAGGACATAGCAAAGTGACCGGTCAGCAAAGTGTCAAGGGCCGGGACGTGTTGTCGCCCATGGCAAAGAGGCGTCCAGTGTCCGTCAGCATCAAACTGTGCCTCACAAAGTGCATGGTTTGATGCAAAACGCTCAACGCAACGTCACCTGGCACCAGCTGCCACCAGCTTCACTGGCACTTGCGCAGAGAAGCGCCTGGCAAGGCGCGACAAGCGGCACGAGCGCGACATCGACATCTCTGGGCTCTTGTCGTCTCAAAGCAGGCGAGGGCCGCAAGAGCAGAGGCGCGGACTGCCGCACCTTAACCGAAGCCCAAAGCCCGAAGCCCAAAGCCCGAAGCCCGAGCGCGTCTGAGCACGAGCCAGGCACATCGGGACCTTGCCCCAGAGCTCCGCAGTTTGAGGCTCCAAATGTGTGCACCTGTGCCAGATTGCAGAGATGGGCCGAAACTTTGAATTTGGTGGCACACAACCTCGTCCTCACCCTCATCATGCAAAGCCGCCTTTTCTGCCCTTGCAGCCCCTTCTGTACAGAAGTTGAGCTTGTGCTTGTCGGCCGAGGCCCTAGCATCCTAGCAAAGAGCAAAGTGTCTTAAGCATCTCAGGAATTTTGCAAAAGAATCCGAACGCTCGAACGCTCCCAACTGTTCAAGCCAATCACTGCACTCACAAACCTCTACGCTTCGGCAGCCAGGCATCCATTCGAGCACTATCTCCAAGATTTGTACGGACACCAAAGGTCACAAACATGTTGCAAGGATCTGCTAGCTCTTGTCTCATCATCCTGCTGCAACTCTCGCCGCAGAAATCGCCAATCTCAGTGTCCAAAACACTTGAAGCTGATATGGGGTCCTCAATTTGTCTGTTGCACCATCGGCAACTACGGTTGATCACGACTGCAAGGTCTACGTAGCCAAGTCTTCCCCGATAATTCATGACTTTCGCAAGCATGTCTGGCACGCTGCCATTGCAAATCATCCTGATCTCGTGGAAGCCTCTGCCAAGTGTCTTGCTGACCCTGTCCTGGACTCCACCCATGTTTGCAAACTTGTCCACGTGGAACTGGCAAATCTGTCCACCCATCGTCCTTACTCGGACTTCGGTGACCCCCTCATCCATTGCATGGTACATCCTTCGCGGCTCTGGGCAGAAATGCTCAGTGCTGCCTTGCTTTGAGCCAACCTCCGAAGAACATTTGAGCCACTCAGCGCATTTCAGGTGACATATGTTTCACTTGCGCTCTTACACCTCCAACAGCGCCTCCCCGTTCGCACCGAGAACCAAGGTATGGCATTGGCCAGACGTGGAATTTGCGCTGGACACCTGACACAGGCAGACTGTGACACCAGACTGTCCGACTGTCCGACTGTCCGACTGTCAACTCATGATCCAACTTCCGTGGGCCTGCACCACATGCACTCCCCGCACGCTCTTCATCCGTTGTGCGCTGGAGATCTGTGCCACTTCCTTGCGACCTCCCAGCTCCATGGAGCGGTTGGAGCCAAACGCCCAGACCTGCAAGACTTCGAATCGCCCAGAACAAACAGATAAGTCACTTCAATCTCATCAGACTAGAGAACATGTCTTGACGCTTTCACCTTGGGCTCGTTTTGGGGGGGCAGGCTCACGGCGCACGGCGCACGGCGCACGGCGCCTGGCCCTTGGAGCCCACCACGAAGGAGGCGACCCCGGCGGCCTCGATCTGCACGGGCTCCTGGCCGCGGAGCTCCTCCACCACCAGCGCCACCTCCTTGGAGAACCTCGCGACTCGAGTCAAGACTTGCGGGAGAAAAAAACAAGTCTAAAGAAACACACACAAAAAATCGAAAACACGGAGAAGAAAGAAAAAGACTCCGCGTGAAAAAGCTCGCGGAGCGCGTGAAGAAAGGCGCCTGACACGGTGATCCACGCCCAGCTGGCCTCGCTTGGCATCCCCAAAGCACACGATGAGTAGCGAGGAACCAGCAGGAGGACCAGCCATGCTGTACCCCGGGTACCTTAGACGTTTTCTGGTGTGCACAATGTGCACAATGTGCAGAATGTGCACGATGCTCAGTTCAGAAGCTCTTTCTGTTGCACAATGCTTCTCAGGCAAGCGCCACACACCACGTTCGTGCGGCTCTTCTTGAATCGACTGCGACTGAGACTGAAACATCTGGAACTCTGTGGATGTCATTGACATTTGCGCGGGCACCTGGAAAAAGCATAGCTCACAGGCTTGGCTCTACCAGTGTCCGCCCTGCCTCTCCCGGCACCGTGCTCTGGGGAGACATGGCGGACTCCAAGTCCTTGAGCTTTGGGAAAACGAACAGAGCAAGGGCAGGGCGGGGGGAGCAACTTCGATCTGTCCGTCTTTTGCCAGGATGCCATCGTCTGCGACGGCGACAACGACATCATCTCAGCCGGGTCCCTTCTATCCTGGGTGATTCAAAGGGGCGATTCGCTCTTAAGGATTCCCAGTCCTGCAGCATTGAAGCTGCTGCAGTGGCTGGGCCGGCAATCCGTGGCACAGGTTGGTTGCCTCAGAGTCCAATGCATTTCCAGTTCTGAGTCCATCCCACAGCACCCCCTGGGCCCCTGGGCCCCTGGCCTGCGCCTGGCCGAGCCAAGGGCCGCATGGGCCCCAAGTCTCGCTTCAGGTCCTGCACCGAGCGCAGTGTGCCGCTGGCGGTCGACAGCTGCGCCGCAGTTGCACTCAGCTGCCCCGCACGCCGCCTAGGCAAGGCAAAGCGGCAAAGCGGCAAAGGGGCAAAGCGAAAAGCCTAGCCAACACTTGGCATTCGGGGGAAAGCATCGAGGCAATGGACAAAAAGCTTGGAATCAAGCACATATCAGCCAGCGCATCATTTCCGACGGATACTTTCCTCTCATGTAAGCGGCCCTGGTCAAGAGATTGCTTGCGCCTGTGAGACACCACTCAGGGGTTGACAATATTGCATACGCAACATCGCATTGGAAGTTTATGGTATTGACATTTTCCGCCACTGCTCAGCAAGTGTTGTGGCAGCGCAAAAAAAGACGGTCGACAGTCCAGGAAGTGACACTGGAGCACAGGGAGATGGTATCACTGCAGCAGAAAGATGGGCAAATGCCGCACTTCGTCCGGAACTTCTCTCAGGTACAATGACAGTCAGCTAAAATTAGTAGAAGCCTCCAGCTTGGCCCGAGTAGCTTCACCATTCTCGGGGTTGCTGGTTTGCAGTCAGTGCTTATGCAAGTCTGCTTCTGCGCCTGCTTTTCCTTACACTGTGTCACTGGAAGTTTCAATATGGGTATGGGTCAAAATTAAGCCACCAGGGGACCGCATATTTTAGATCATGTTTCCATTTACCAGGGCTCCATTTTGGCTACATATGTTTGACCCACAACCATATGACTGTCGTCTCGTCGCTATGGTTCAAGTTCAATTTTTTGCTGCTCCCTTGACACACAGAGCCGACTCTTTGCGCAAAGCTGCTGTGGCTGAGTTGCGCTGGGGTCTTCGGTTTCAAGGCAAGAAACAACTCGAGCCACGGGTATCGGTCACTCACAGTCCAAGTGTCCAGATTGAACCGAAGGGAACCAAAAAGCAAACTGCACCAAGATAAGTATAAGCATGCTTGCTATCAGTTTCGGGGGAGAAATGATCCAAACCTGAAAAGCAGTCATACTTGTAGACTTTGGCCGTGGCTCAGCTCGTGTCTTTTGGTACAGTGCAATTTGTCCGTGCGATGGATTTCGAGTCATGACCCATTGAAGGAGAGAATGGAAGAAGCCCGGCAAATTTTGTACCATGAAGCTTGAATGATGCTCGAAAGGTATGACATCCCCACCCACTCCACATTCTAGCTTGCAAAATGCTGATGCAAAGCTTGTCAGTGTAGCAATCGAGAAAGCTCAAGGGTCGGCCAATAGCGTCTCCATGACAGTCTTGAGGTCTCCGTGACAGTCTTCAGGCGCAACGTTCCTTCCTTTGGTCCAAGTTACTGTGCGCGTAGCGTGCGCCGGCTCAGCGCGTGCTGACGGAGCCGCCGCACAGCGCGCCGCTTCGCAGTGACTTGAGCAAGGGAGCCTCAGTCTTCGCAGTCTACTGTCATGGAGCACAGTGCAGCACAGCGCATTCCTCTAATCACCTTCGGGTCAAGATACCTGCCAGCTTCATGCGGGCCCCATGTCCTGCGGCCGTATCCACCGCCCTATCAACCATCCTTGGCTCGGGCACTCTGCTTGTCTCTTTGGCTGAGAAGTTTTTGTTCTCTCTCAAGTGCCTCTTGCCTCCCAAATAGCAAAGTTCTTCAACTTGGAAGCTCCAAACATCCAAGTGGCTCGTGCACAATGCGCTCGATGAATCTGTGCACTTCTGTCTTCGTGTCCATCTTCTGCTTTCTCATCAACTTCTGCCGCCTGGCGCACAATGGCAACCCTCCAAAGAGCTTGACCAACGTCGGATTGCTGGATGCCTCAAAGACTTGGTCACCAGGGAGAAGGCCAACTTCCAGGCTGCTGTGGAGGATGGCGACGGATCCCAGACCTGATGCAAAGCGAGGCCAACTGCGCTAAGTCACTACGACCGAACCACCGGACCACATGGAACTAACGGAAGCAAGTCAAGGTCCCAACGCTGACGCTCATGTCACGGGCGAGTTCTCTGATGTTTGTGCCATGGCCAATGGAGGTCTCCAGCAACATGCAGGCGTAGTCATCCGTGGAGGTGCGTTCCAGGAACCTAAGACCCGAGCTGGCACTGCTCAGTTTCACCCAGGGCTCTCAATGCTACCATGCAGCTGCAACAGCGTCTTTCGCTGCAATTGCCTAAAGCCAGCATCAACAAAGTCATCCGGCACCAGGTCGCTGCATGATTCTCCTAGTGATATATTGATACGCGTGCTTGCCCGTCCTCACTGTTGAGGGCGCTTGATAGTGGAGGTCCTGTGGGGGCGTCTCTTGCCCACCACAAACACGTGGAATGGACCCTGCGAGGGCACTCAACATTCTGACCACGGCCAAACTCAGTGTCCTGGGTCTGCAAGAGCAAATATTTGCGCTTGAAGGCCTCGAGGCACTGACAAACATATGGATACATAAAGATATAACTCATGCGCGTGGTATGTATATAGTGTGTATATATATATATATACACATGTGATATCCCCCCTCCAAGAACAAACCGCTTGGTATTCACAAGTTTGATGTGCGCGTATTGCTGCACAATTGCATGTCAATGGCAACGGCGAAAAGTCGCTATTGGGGCTCCGAGTTCGCTGTTTTTAGATTTTGCAGATGGGCACTGCTGGCCAAATTTGTTGCATCAGCTGTCAAATTCGCCTTGGCCCCAAAAAAGAATCCTTGCTTGTCCCCTCCCCAACCCCTTCACCCCGCCCCCCCTCACCCATGTCTCCTGGCCAAGATCCTGTCCGGCGGGCCTTGAAATTTTCGTGGCTCGTCGGCGTCCAGCTCCATGGGCAGCAAAAAAACATATGCACTGTCCGTGAAACAAATTGCGGCATGTCTTGGCAGCAACTACATGAAGCAAAGGCGTCCTTCGGCTGACGTGTCTGAGACTAGCCTCAGACCCAACCAGCAAGACCCAGCACAGGGCGACCGCTCCAGTAGCAAGCCCAGCCCAACCAACAACCCAGCCAAACCAGCACCCAGCCTCACGCCCAGACCTGCTGACACTAGCTTCAGACCTGTCTGCTGTGTTGGCAACGTCCAACCAGTCCGGCTGCCCAACCACCCTGTCTGGCGCGCTGAGACTAGCCTGAGGCCCAGCCAGCATCACCCAGGCCAGGCCAGCCCAGCCACAAGCCCACAGACTGCTGCGCGCATGAGATTTCCATTCTGGCTTGAATGCGCCCGCGCAAGCAGCCGATTCCGGCCGACCCACGCTTGAAAAAACCCACGCCAGTCGATCAAGACTGCCGCGAGCGCGTTGATCACCACAGCTCTGCTTTGGTTGTCGAGACTTTCTACGCAACTTCCGCCCATGCAATCCACTGCCCCAGCATGCAGCGCCACTGACTCTCGGCTCCATGATCGCCTTGCCCTTGCCCCTTGCCCATGACATCACCTGAATCGCCACTTGACCAGCGGGCTCATTTGGGCCGAGGCCACAATTAAAAACAGCTGTGCGCGCGCTCCTTACCATTCAAGAGTCCAAACGTTGACTGGCGTTCTACATGTTGAGTTGCTTATTTTGTATTCTGCTACAGTGTTCTGTTCTTCTTAGCAATGTGTCGCTTTACGTTTCTGACGGCTTTACTACTTTACCCATTTACTGCTTTTACTTGTTTTTAACGCTCTTGCTTGTTGGCTTTTACCAGGGGCAAGTAGAACAACATATGCCAGAAGTAAAACTCGTTTACATTTTGATTGTACGCAGTTGCGACGCTTCATGGGTCCAGACTTGTATGTGTGTGTTGTCATTGTGTGTTTCTTTAGCCACCATTCAAAATTACACTCTTACTTTTTCGTCCTTACTTTGTTACAGGGTTACTTTCCACTTTTACTCAAAGTTATTCATACACTTGCAACGCTAGCAGCATTGGTGAAGAATCCCTCTCCAAATCTGCAAGCATTGACTCACGCGACCCTGACAAACCAACTCTTACAACTCTCACGACTTGCCACACTGCCACACCCGGCGTGCCCCGGTCGTGCAAATCAAATCAAACATTCAATCATGGCTGGCGCGTTGGGCAGCACTGAGCGGCGCAAAGCAATGATTTGCTTGTACGTATTCATTGCGTGTGCTGGCATATCTGGATTCAAACCCGGCATACCTTACTTCTAATCGTAATTTTCTTGGACATGTTTCAGCAGGTGAACCTTAGGCAAAACTCAAATTGCGTTCCCACATCTGTTGCACTGAATGATTCTGAATTGAGCTTGAACAGTCATTGGGCCCGATTGTTTGAGATACAATGCATTCATATGTGTATTTCCTGCTCAGAAACAAACTGGTCAACTCCGTGGCAGAGGAAAAAGGAGATGCTTGGGCAGGCACAGATTTAGGAGAAAAAAGTGTGATTGTCCAGTGCTTTGTGATATATACATATATAGGGGGGCTGCCCAGAAACCCTGTTCTGATTCTCAGTTGCCCGCTTGATTTTGTGTTGTGGCGGGGCTGGGGGGGCGCCGTGGGCTCTGTCGGTCGCCGAGCATTAGCAAAAGCAATACGGCTCACAGGATGGAAAATTTATTGTGTTCTTTATGAGCCCTCCTGCAACGTGTGCCGAATGCGGCAACGTATGCATGTTGCCCGCTCCAACCCCAGATGATGCCGAGGATGCAAGCTTTCTGGGCCCCAGCCGAACCCCAACCCAGAAGGTTCAGCAAGGCCCAAAAACCAACGGGAAAAAGCAAGGGCCGCGCAGCACACGAGCCAGCCACAAAAACGGGCAGAACAACAGCCCAACTCTCAGCACAGCAGTTTTTGACGACGGCGTTTTGTAGAGCGAGGGCCCAGCATCGCCGGCATGCCCGGCAGCGCTTGGCACCAAAATGGGTTGAGAGGCTTTTTGGAAGGAAGTGTCAATGATGCAGTCCCAGCCCCGCTGAAGAATCACCCAGGCCCAACCCCAGACCCTGATGATGTCAGCCACACAGCCTAAACCCTGCATATACGCGATGCTTTGCAAGGGTTTCCCACCAAAAAACGCAAGCCCGAGCTGGTGATGCAGAGGTGCCGGATTTAGGCAACGCGTCACGACCAAGTGATGAGAGTTGGCGGCACACGGGCGCAGCCCTATAGCTGAAGCCAGCAGGCAAATTGCCTAGCAGCATGCTACCCCAGGAAGCGTAGCCGACTTTACACGCTGACGCGACACAGCCGGCCACCGGGCACCTTCCCGTTCTTTCATTTCCTTTTCCTTTAATGCCCGTTAGTTCCCGGGATTTGAACTTCACTTCCTTTGCATGTCTTCCCTGCATGTCCGACAGTTTCCTGGCATTTCCCTTCACTTCCTCTCGCTTCATTTCCGCTTCAGCTCCCTGCATTTCCTTGAGCGCCGCGTCATTCGCACGCCTTTCCCTTCGTTCTTTGTAGTTCCCGTGACTTCAACCTCGCTTCCCATTTCACGTCAGTTTCCTGCACAATTCTTCATTTCTCTTCAGTTTCTCCTCGTTTCCAACAATTTCCAACAGTTTCTTTTCGTTCCCATCCTCCGGTTCCCTTCGCGTTCTGCCCTTGCATTTTCCTGCATTTTGGTTTCTCTCCAGCGCCCTCTTCATTTTCGTGCAATTCCTTTCCCTTCCATTTCGTTCACTTCCAGTCACTCCTGTTTCCCTGCATTTCCCCTTCGTTGTCTGCAATTTTCAGCCCCTTGTGTCGCATCGCCAGCATGCATAGCATCATCCGCATCATCCGTGATGATGCTTGCGATCCTGCAACTCACGATGATAAGTGTCATCGTAGTCATCCCCTGCGTCTTCAACAATGCCGAGGATAAGTATCATCGAAGCATCCTTTCTTTGCGTCTTCAACTGTGCCTAAGGCCACTTTTGAAATGTATATATCCGCCGACCCCTTCTCCCAAAGGGGAGGCGCACGGGAAGGGTGATCATCATCATCGGCATCATCGAGATGCTGGGGATCAAGGCACGACTCGTCCTTTCAAGTCCTGCGCCAAGTTGCTTACTTGGGGTCTAGGATCTAGGGTCTGGCGCAAGGTTAAGTTTAACCATGGCTCGAAATATCGATCTTGCCCTACCTAGACCCTAGACCTTAGACTCAAACTAATGACAATCATGATGACGATGATGAAGGCGATGACTATGATGACAATCATCATGAAGATGATAAGGATGATGACTCTTATGATAACTATCATCGTAGCATCATCTGCATTACCAAAACTGCGGATGACTGTCATGATAACTATCATCGTAGCATCCTCTGCATTACCAAGGATGCCTAACGCCACATTTGAAATGTGTTTAGAAGTATAGAAGAAAGATAGAAGAATAGAAGAAAGAGATGATGATGATGACAATTGATGATGACAATGATGATGACGATGATGAAGGCGATGACTTTGATGACAATCATCATGAAGATGACAAGGATGATGACTCTTATGATAACTCTCATCGTAGCATCCTCTGCATTACCAAAGCTGCGGATGACTGTCATGATAACTCTCATCGTAGCATCCTCTGCATTACCAAGGACGCCGACAATCATGATGACAATGATGAAGTCGATGACTATGATGACAATCACCATGAAGATGATAAGGATGATGACTCTTATGCTAACTATCATCGTAGCATCATCTGCGTTACCAAAGCTGCGGATGACTGTCATGATAACTATCATCGTAGCATCCTCTGCATTACCAAGGATGCCTAACGCCACAATTGAAATGTATATAGAAGAAAGATAGAAGAATATCATGATGACGATGATGAAGGCGATGACTAAGATGACAATCATCATGAAGATGATGAGGATGATGACTCTTATGATAACTATCATCGTAGCATCCTCTGCATTACCAAAGCTGCGGATGTCTGTCATGATCACTATCATCGTAGCATCCTCTGCATTACCAAGGGTGCCTAGCGATGATCATGACTACGCATCCACCTCGCCTCAGATGCCATTTGGGTCATTGAGATTTGGAGTCCAT